ACCCTCTCTTATAATTTTCCATTTACAATTTTTTTCTTAATATCGACTTTTTTATTTTTCAGATAAATTCAGTGTAGGTGCATTTTAGATAAATAAATAATTTTACATAACAAGTTATCTTAAAGACCATAGACATGGATTGACGAGAGAGGGGAAGAGCAATTTCTATGCCTCTGCCTTAACTCCCTGCCTTCCTAGATCTGACCAGTGTTTTGGTTTCATCCACATACGCTTGTGAATCTTTGTTCTCAGTGATGAATTTTGTTAAGTCTCGTAATAGGAGTAGCCTGACGGATGAAAGTAGTAGCTCGTGCATATTTCTGAAGGTCACGAAATATAAACCTGATGTAAAATCTCTGTCATCAGTGATGCAGCAGCAAAAGTCCCACTGATAATATCAAACGGAGTCATAAAGTTTTCTGTCGGACTATCAGTGTACATGTATACATTAAAAAATAAATGTATTTTTCATCATCATATACTGTGTTTTTGTCGCTCGAATGAATTTTATTATTTCTTCAAGGTTCTTCACATACGTACACCTTAAGAGATATCAAGTAGGCGTAACATGTTCTCAAAAAATTAGGGTTGGCACGCAGAAGAATTTTGAGTCAGAGGTTTTGCTGGTTTTGGCACGCACTCACAAAAAGGTTGCCCACCCCTGGTCTAGAGTGCTAAACCATGCTGCCTCATCCATTCACCAGACAGCTCCCAGGGTAATGGGGCAGAGAGGAGAGCCAGGGCTATCCTAAAAGTTAGTCTGTGGCCACACCTGGGAACTACAATATGCCCCTCCCCAACCTGCGATGGTCCTCATCTTATGATCTTGGTCAGTAAGGGAGACACTGTCAAGGGGTGTGGATCTGCACTTTCTGGAGAGAAGGGATTAGCACTGCACGGAGCCCCGGGACATCCCGCCAGCTTCAGGGAAGCCTGGGATGACCTCACTGACAACTCAGCTTACTGCCCATTTCAACATCATTCCTATTTCCCTCGGGGAAGAGTTACTTTCAGTGCACGGTTTAGTGAACTTCAGGATGCTGCTGAGTGGCCAGCTGACTCGGCAGGGGGACAGTGGGCTTCTATCCGAACCCGCCCAGCCTCGACATTGTCCCCACACCTCCGCTGGATGCTGCAGTGTGACCCTTACCCTCGCATGCAGGATCTTCAACAGCTCAGGTGTAAGCTCTGCCCAGTTAGACGAAGGGACTGGCTCAGATCGCTCTCTCACTGAAGGAATCTCTCCGCGGCACATAGCCCCAAAATAACTACAAGAAAAATGTTTTTTCATTGACAGCACATATGCAGGAAATTCTTGCTTGTGATGAATTAGATCTGTATTTTGTCTTGGAAATACTTTGTGGAGTTTTATGCTCTAAAATGCTGCAGATTTGTAAGCCACATAAAACCATGTGCTAAGAGCTTTCCAAAGTCTGAACAGAGAATGTGCTCGTAGGTCATGCTCTCCTTTCTCACTGCAGTGAACTACAAACTGACTCTTCATGGATAGCTAAAAAGTTTATAGCACACAGTACAGTACGGGAGCAAGCAGGCTATAACAGTGGAGTGTTTTCTTACATAAATGTCAGGGATAATATCAAGGAATGTCATTTTTCTTGCTATAAAACAGCAGCACAAGAATAAAATGGGATTCTAAACCATTGTATAGTATAAAACAATGTCTGCCTGTGATGCCTAAGAGAAATTAGTTTTCTGACACGTAGAGGTCAAACATAACACGTAGAATGGAGAACTAAACAGGCCTCATTTCTAGCAAAGCAACCGCATTTCTGTCTCTTTTTATGAGACTGGCTTATTTTCCTCCCATTCGTAAAAGCATCGTGGTGGCCCAACCCAAGAGCATGAGTGCACTGGCGCAGCGCCTCTGGAAGGCTCCTCTTAGATTCTGTTGTGTGCCTTCTCCAGGTGTCCACACCTGTCTTCCACCACCTGCTCAATTCACCCACTCAACCTCACCTCCCTTCCCCAACCCACCAGCTCCACTCGGCAGCTACTAGCTAGCTACTAGGAGGCTCTGACACAGTAAAAATAGCTGGAAAATGGCCTGGGAGGTCTGGTTAGCTCCCCATTCCTGCCTCAAGTCCCAGTTCTCCCGTTTCAAGGAGGCACTTCGTCTAAAAAGCAACTTCAAAGCCGAGAGGCTTTCTGTGTGAAGCTGCTTCAGGCCGGGCCGGCAGCCATGGCTGTGTAAGCTCCTTCCCTTGAGCAGCCTCTGGGGCACCTGCCTGATAGAGGGCACCTGCGTTTGAGGCACGTTTTCAGCCAGGCCAGGTGCTCTCCAGCCCTTATCACTGTTTTACCTAATTTCTCCAGAATGTGATGTGTACTGTGTGAATAAGTCAGTTCAAAGTAGCACGGAAGAGAATGACATTTTCCCCAATGACAAAATGCAAAAGGTCACTGGTTGGGGCGAGAGTTTTACCAGCATCGAAGGAAGCTCACCCGTGAAAGGAGTGGACCAGCTTGGACTAGTCCCACGCTATCCACCGCGTGGGCTGATGGCAGCCCTACCCTAGGTGCACTGCTGCCACCTAGTGGTGAGGCCGGGGAGCGAAGCCCTGGTTTACACCTGCTTAGCCGTCCAAGCTCCCAGATGCTCCA